TGTAGATTTGGTGTATCTGAATTTTCAGAAAGCATTTGATAAGGTGCCACATAAAAGACTTGTAAAAACATTAGCACAAAGTAGTGGGGGATAGGTTAGCAAATATGATAGAAGAGTGGGTCGACGGAAGAAAGCAGAGGGTTGTTTGTTACAAATGGAGTTCAGTCAAACTGGATTAATGTCAAATGGGGGTACATCAGGGCTTAGTCTCAGGGGCCTTGCTCTTTTTGATTTACCTCAATGACAAAGATGAAGGAATAGTAAATAAATTACTTAAATTTGCAGATGATATTACGGTCTTGGGTGTTGCTAGATTCGAAGATGGTCCTGCTGATTTACAAAAGGATTTAGATCATTTAGTGTGCTTGTCAAATAAATGGCAGATGGGTTTTAATTTTAATAAATGCAAAATAATGCATGTGGGTTATCATAATTTGAATTATAAGTATAATTTGGATGGGAATAACCTTAGTAATGTTATGAAGGAAAGGGATCTTGGTGTAATAATCGATCAGTCTCTAAAGACATCCAAACAGTGATATATTGCTAGTGGTAGGGCAAATATGATTTAGGTTGTATCTACAGAAATATTGAATACAAGTCTAAAGAGGTTACAATTTCATTATACAAGTCACTGGTTAGGCCACATTTGGAATATTTTATTCAGTCTTGGGCTTCTTTCTTACCTTCGAAAAGACACTGAATTGTTGGAAAGGGTCCAGAGAAGGGTTACTAGAAAGGAGGGGTTGTCATACGAGTTAGGGGGATTTGATTGAGGTGTTTAAGATTCTAAAGGGAATAGATAGTGTTGATGCATCATATTTTTTCATATTTAACAATGAGATTAGTAGAACTAGGGGACACAAATATAAATTTTGGCAAGGTAGGAGTCATCTTCAGTTAAGACAGTTTCAATTTTATAACAGGGTGGTTGGCCTATTAGAAGTAAATTTAAGTGAGTTTAAGAAAAAGCTTGATAAGTATATGAATGATAAGGACTGGCTTTAAGATTTTTTAAAAATCATTTGAATTCAGGTTAGAGGATGGAACAGCCGAGATAGACCAATAGGTCTCTTGTTGTCCTAAAATATTATGTTATGTTATATTATAGACCCATGCGAAAAATACTCTAGGTCCTCTAGAGTCATCAGTATTGATTTAAGCAGAGTATTTTGAAAGTTAAAATTTGATTTACTGTTACATATTGAGAATGATGAGAAAAGAATTATCTACAGACTTAAGGGAAAATAATTTTCAGTAGCACATTTCCGGAGAAGGCTATAAATGAATTTCAAAGCTATTTATTTGCCATTAAGTACTGTAAAATATCGGCTATGAAGAAATGGAAAGTGTGTCACACTACCTCGATCTTGCCAAGATCAGGTTGCACTAAGAAAGTCTGTGCTCGAACAAGCAGAAACATCATCAGAGAAGCGACTGCCAAGCCAACATTGACACTGAAGGAGCTGTAGACTTCAATAGCAGCAACTACTGGACACACCTCGACAATATCACGTACCTTACACAAAAAAGGCGTGTATGGTCAGGTGACAAGAAAGAAACCGCTACTAACGAAGATGAGTTTTAGATCGCGAATGGACTATTCCAGTAAACATTTAATAATCTTACAACAATGTGGCAGAAAGTTCTATGGTCAGATGAGACCAAAATAAAACTTTTGTGGTTAAATGACAAACGGTATATATGGTGAAAACCAAACACTGCTCATGACTCGGCAGATACAGTCCCAACTGTCAAGCATGGTGGTGGGTCCATAATGCTGTGGGGATGTTTTTCTGCAGCTGGTGCTAGAGAACTTGTACGCATTCAAGGGATCATGGACAGTGTAAAATATACATAGATGTTGGAGGTAAACCTGAAAAAAGTCAGATGAAAAACAGAATCTCGGTCGAAGGTCTATATTTCAACAGAACAATGATCCCAAACACAAATCAAAGGCAACCCAATAATGGTTTCAGAGAAACAAAATTAAAGTCCTTGACTGGTCAAGCCAAAGCCTGTACTTAAATCCACTTGAAAATATGTGGAGAGACTTGAAAATTGCTGTTCATTGAAGACATCCTTCCAGCTTACAACAACTGAAGGATATCTGCAAGCAGGAGTGGGCAAAAATATCTGCAGCATATTGTGCAAAGCTTGCCGAAGGTTAACCAAAACGACTTTCAGCTGTCATTGCTGCCAAAGGAGTTTCAACTGCCAGTAGAAATTATTCACAAACTATATGCTTGCCAGTAAGTAAAAAAAATAATGTATGAATATTGATATTGTTTTTTTTATATGATTGTGTTTGTTTGTGTTATCTTTGTTATCCATTTTCGAAATAATTATTGCAAAATATTTCAAGGAGTTGCATTCTTATACTTATCCGGTATTTAGTGCAAATGAATACCACAGTATTACAATAAAAGTATTGTTTGTTTTTAATTAAGCACAAAGCTACACAATGGGCTATCTGTACTCTGCCCACCACGGGTATCGAAACCCGGATTCTAGCGTTGTAAGTCCGCAGACATACAGCTGTGCCACTGGGGGGCAAAAAAAGTAATTACAGTTAAGCAGCAGAAGGAATTGTGTTCCGTACTAGATCAATTTTCTTACTCTGTACTCGTAGCAGCCAGAAGCTCATGTGAAATACTAATTTCATATAAAGTACTAAAACTTTCAGTATTATGTTGTCCAATGCATAAGCTCATGAGGTCTAGAAAGCCTTTCGGCGTAAAATAATATGACTGAACATCACTGTAAGCTGCATTTTTGTTTTCATAATATACCTCCTTAGTTCCTTCCATAGTTTTAACCGTATTATATTTTTAAATAGTAGATGTTTTAAAATCATTATTAAAAATAAGCTGTATATTTTGAACATTAACCTAGCATATTCTATACAAGGTTAATATGTTTCATAACAAAAGATTTTAATACCCTAATACAATGAAAAATAAAAATCAACAAGGAAGATGTGATTAACGCTTATAATTTTGTTTTATAGCAAATCTCCAATACTGAATGTATTTTGTTTGTTTAAAGTTAAGCACAGTGGGCTATCTGTGCTCTGCCACCACGGGTATCGAAACCTACTGTGCAGACATACCACTGTGCCTTTGGGGGGGGGGTGCTCTAGCGTTGTAAGTCAGCACTTAATGTGCCACTGAATGTAAAATATCGATTTGAGTTGACTTATGGATTAAGGTATATATATATATATATATATATATATATATATATACACACTCCTTACTATAGTAAGTATATATATAATAATAATTAATTTAATATATACTAAGACATAGTACGTACTACTTTTACTTTTTTATATAG